GGCCAATCCAGAGTGATTGTATTCAAGAGTGGGGAACCAGAAAGTTGATTGGATCATGGTCTTGATCATGTGATGTGCGTAGTCTCAACTTGGAGTTTCAAAGTTATCGGACATTTATTGAGAACTCCTAATGTCAGTAATCTTTAGGCCAGATGTTTTCAGAGAAGGACCCTCCAATCTCACATCTAGAAGGTTAGGATCTTTCTACCAGTGCTCTGGGGAGTGTGTGGGAAAGATAACTGGAAGTCTCTGTACTTAGGATTCAGTACACCCATGATCACTGAATCCTCTTCTTTGGGCATGGTATTTCCATCCTCAAAAGGGCCTGGTACCTCCCAGTCTAGAGACTATTCTATTTCCTCTGGACTCTACACCTCCAAATTTCTGCCAGTATGAGGGAGGGGCAGGCTTCCAGTGGCATGGAATCTAAGGATCGAATAATTTTCAAATGGCTTTTAATCATGGTTTTTGATATTTAGCTCTCTCAACTTTACTTTTTTTTTTTTTTTAAATAGATGGTGTCTTGCTCTGTTGCCCAGGCTGGAGTGCAGTGGCAAGATCTCTACTCACTGCAACCTCCACCTCCTGGGTTCAAGTGATTCTCCTGCCTCAGTCTCCCAAATAGCTTGGATTAAAGGCACGCACCACCACACACACATTTTTTTTTTTTTGTATTTTTAGTAGAGACGGGGTTTCTCCATGTTGGCTAAGCTGGTCTGGAACTCCTGATCTCAAGTGATCCACCCGCCTCGGCTTCCCAAAGTGCTGGGATCCAACTTTTATTTCTAGTTCTGGAGGTACCCGGTACTTGCTAATCCTGTGCTATTTGTGAATTTTGTGATGCAAATTGTGTTGATTCTCAGCCTTCCTCACTGTGGGTTTGGGATTTGGCTCTCACAGTCCTGCTGGATGAATTTGGTTTCCAGTTTTCAATATGTGTCGATATTGTCTCATTTCTTGTTGCCCTACCCATGTGTTAGTTAAAATCATTTGCTTTTGTTTTAATGGAGTTTTTGGAGGATGCAGAATTAGCTGTATGTTTTTAGCCATCCATGTTAATCTAGAAGCCTCCAATCCACCTTTCTAAGTAAAAAAAAATCAGACATTTTTATTTCCATCCAAATAAGTCACGGTCTAATCAGGAGACAGAAACCACTATACTAGTTTTAACAGAATTTGATATAAAGAACCGTTAGTCAGGTATAAAGAATTGTTAACATACTGACTGAGAAAGCTCAAAGAGAAGACACAGCTATTATGAAGATAGAAACTTCAAGAAGGAGCTATCATCCCTAGGCTGGAAGCTGGAATTACTAAAACTCAGAAACCTGGAGAAAGAGCCTCACAGAGCTGAAACTCAGTTCTCTGAGGGGGAACCCGATGGGCTGGAGCTGGTGTCTCTGGGAAGGCATAATGAGGCCGAATGTGAGTGCTGGGACACTGGATTTCACTGTGCCTGGACTGAATTGCTGCTCGGGAGTGAGGAATAAGCAACGTGATATTGACAGGCATTGGAAGACTGTGCCACTCTCTGCTTCCAGCCTTGAAGTCTCCTCTAAGGACCCCTATTGTCCAAGTCTAAGAGGGATCCACCTGGCAGGGGAGAAATGTGATTTGCAGAGCTTAACCCCAGCATCACAAAGTAACTCAAAGTGGGACTGGAAGCTGAGCAGCCATGGCTTAGTAATTGGTATGGTCTTCTTCGGCTACTTGCAATTCATATGTACACAACTAAACACACTTAAATTTCCATACAACCACAAAATTGACTGTTCCACCTTCATACAAACAAAGGCATTTTCACTTTCCCCAATATGAGGTGGCACAAAGTCCAGGCAGCAATTGTATTTATATGGGGGAGAGTCTCCTGATCTATTCTGGGCTATATATTAACTACTGGTCAAATTCAGTCATAGTCCCATCTGATATTCTGTTTCTAAACACTACCTTGCTTTTTTTTCTATAGAGATGGGGTCTTGCTATGATGCCTGGGTTGGTCTCAAACTTCTAGCCTCAAGCCATCCTCCCACCTCAGCCTCCCAAAGTGCTGGGAATACAGGTGTGAGCCACTGTGCCTGGCCTTAACACTACCCTTTTCATCCCTGCTTTCCTCCTTAGTTTCCCTCAGTTGGTTCAGAATTTGGGTTGGGAAGAGGGGTATTATATATTGACCCTCTTAAACTCTAAGTGTGCTTATCATTGTGTTGATTAGCTATTCTGCCAGTTTACATTTGTAAGAGCAGTATAAGTGAGTTCCAGTCCTTCCACGTCATCCACTTAGTATTGTCAGTCTTTTGCATTTTGCCAATCTATGAATGAGAAATTACATCTCACTATTGCTTAATTTGCATTTCCCTTGTGGAGGAGGCTGAGGATCATTTTGCCATATGTTTATTGGACTTGAGTTTCTCTTCTGCTCATGTGTTATTTTTTTTTTTGTTTTTTGTTTTTGTTTTGAGACAGGGTATGGCTCTGTTGCCCAGGCTGGAGTGTAGTGGTTCCATCATGGCTTACTGAAGCCTTGGCCTCCTGGGCTCAAGTAATACTCCCACCACAGCCTCTCAAGTAACTGGGACTACAGGTATGTGCCACCATGCCAGACTATTTGGTTTTACTTTTTATTTTTAGTAGAGATGAGTCCTTGCTATGTTGCCCAGGCTTGTGTTGAACTCCTGATCTTGTGATCTTTTGCCTCAGCCTCCTAAAAGAGTTGGGATTACAGACGTGAGACACTTCTCCTGGCTGCTCATATTTTTTGTTTAATTAAAGAAATATTTTTTCCTGCTGATTTGCAGGAATTCTTAAAAAATTTTTTTGGTGAAATATATTTGAAACATATAGATAAGAATAGAAGATAATTTAAGAGACATTCATATTCCCACCATCCAGCTTCATTAAATCTTAACATTGTCTTATTTATTTTAAAGAAATAAAACATATGTATATTTGCCATCCTTTGGGCCTTCTTCAATCCTATTCTCCTACTGTTCCTTCCTATCATGAATTTAGTGTTTACCATTCCTAAGCAAAGCTTTTATACTGAGTAGGAGTTTATATTCTGGATACTAATCATTTGTTAATTTTATGCATTTTGAATTGCAAATATCTCCTCGCATTCTGTGCTGTGTTTTTCACTTTGCTTATGGTGTTTTTTTGATATATGAAGGTTTTAAATTTTAATATGATCATATTTATCAGATGTTTCTTTTATGGTTTGTGCTTTTTGTGGTAAAACTTTTCTGTGGATGTATGTCTTATCTCCTTGGTGAATGTCTATTTTACCTTGAGGAAAGGACCATGATTATACTTTTTTCATCCTCTACAGTCTTTTTTTTTTTTTTTTGAGACAGAATCTCACCCTGTCACCCAGGCTAGAGTGCAGTGGCGCAATTTCTGCTCACTGCAACCTCCACTTCCCAGGCTCAGGCAATCCTCCCAACTCAGCCTCTTATGTAGCCTGGAACCACAGGCACGTGGTACCATGCCTGGCTAATTTTTGATATTTTTGGTAAAGATGGGGCTTCACCATGATGTCCAGGCTGGTCTCAAACATATTTGAGGCATTTGGGCTAGATACTAATGTGCTGTGGGAAGATTTGTCCTGAGGATTATAGGATGTTGGGCGGCATCCCTGGCATCTGCCCATTAGATGCCAGCAGCACTACCCTTCTCCACTTGGAGCCATGATGATGACCAAAAATGTCTCCAGACATTGCCAAATGTCTCCTGGTGGGGAGGGGTGGTGGTGGTGGTGAAATCACCCTTGGTTGTGAAATACTATCCCAATTAAATGGTCCTAAATTATGGGTTCAGAAATAATGACAGGCTGCTGAGTGATGGAAGGTGCTGATTGGCTTAAGCTAATCTAGATTTATCTCCAGGTTTGGTTCAACCTTTGTTCTGGGTTGATGAATGTTCTAGAAACCAAAAAGAAAAGTTAGGTACAAGTAGAAAGGTCGAAGGTGGAAGTGGAAGTGATGCTAAATAATCAAGAAATAGTTGCTCCAGAAAATTCTGATATGAGCTCAACGTGGCAGCTAACTGATCATTGCCATCCTTCTCCCATTTTAATATCCAATAATTAATCCTGAACCCTCACCATCAGCTCGTCCATTCCAATTTTCTCTTCCCTTTGTCACTCAGGTATGTGCATTATAGCAAAATCAGAAAGGAATTACTATGTCAGTGGTTCAGAAAAGATGGTAAACACTGACCTGGTATTAAGTTTTGTGCATATCAGGTGCTCAGTTGTTACTTATCTTGGTCTTTTTAGAATGCCATAACAAACACCATAAGCTGGGTGACTTAACAGAAATTTATTTTTTCACAGTTCTGGGGGCTGGAAGTCTGAGATCAGGGTGCCAGCATGGTTGAGTTCTGGTGAGGGCTCGCTTCCTGGCTTGCAGATGGCCACCTTCTTGATGTGTCCCCGCATGACCTTTCTCCTTGGTGCCTGTGTGAGTGGAGGCCGGGTGGGAGGTAAGCTGTCTGGTGTCTCTTCTTATAAAGGCACACCCTTATAAGGGACCCCACCCTCAAATAAACCTCATCTAACCCTAATTATCTCTCATAGTCCACCCCCAAATACCATCACATTAGGGGTAATAGGACTTCAACATATGAATTTTGAGAGGAACACAACTGAGCCATGGCATTACTAGTTGGGGTTTTGGTAGCTGTAATTCATTTAGAGAAGAAATGTGTATTTTTTTCTGTTATAGATTAGCCCCTGACAGGCAGATATGCCCATCATTGAATTTTTATACAGGTTTTTTTTTTTTTTGTTGTTGTTATTTAGTTTTTACTTCATAATCATAAACTTAACCCTGCAATCCAGCTAGGCATGGAAGGGAACAAGGAAAACATGGAACCCAAAGGGAACTGCAGCAAGAGCACAGATTCTAGGACACTGTGAGCAAGTGGGGTGGCGGGGAGCTCTCCTGAGCTACAGAAGGAATGGTCTAGTGGTTAAGATAAAACACAAGTCAAACTTACTAGAGTTGTCCACAGTCAGCAGTGGTGATCTTCTTGCTGGTCTTGCTATTCCTGGACCCACAGTGCTCCATGGCCTCCACAATACTCATGCCTCTTTCACCTTGCCAAAGACCACATGCCTGCCAACCAACCACTCAGTCTCGGCAGTGCAGATGAAAAACTGGGAACTGTTTGTGTTGGGTCCAGCATATGCCATGGACAAGATGCCGGGACCTGTATGCTTTAGGATGAAGTTCTTATCATCAAATTTCTCCTTGTAGATGGACTTGCTACCAGTGCCATTATGGCATATGAAGTCACCACCCTGACATATAAACCCTGGGATAATTCTGTGAAAGCAAGAACCCTTATAACCAAATCTTTTCTCTCCAGTGCTCAGAGCACAAAAGTTTTCTGCTGTCTTTGGAAACTTGTCTGCAAAGAACTTGAAGGAGACGTGGCCCAAGGGTTCGCCGTTGACGGCAACGTTGAAGAACACGGTGGGGTTGACCATGGCTGATACTACAAGGCTCTAGGTGGTGGCTTCTGGAAAGCTGCAAAGGGTTTTAAAATGCACAAGTATGCCAGAGATTTGCAACTTAATCGCTCATAGGTCAGGTTTTTGGGGCATAGTTTTGGAGACAGACTTTAAGTATAGGTGGTTTACTAAAGAGTGCATTCAGGAACAACACCCAGATGACAGAGATGCAAGACTGGATAGATGAGGTTGAACTGCAATAAGGTTGTGATAAAGGTTTAGTCAATCCCTTGGGTGACAACTGGGATGGCTCTGCAAAAGTGTCTAAATTTGAGGTGAGGGATCAGCCCTGGTACCAGATTACTGACTAGACATTCAATGGGGGCTGCCCCGAGGGAGGGCACAACTTTAATGCTGAGGGCAATTCTTAGAAAAGAGGCAGCTTTAAGTCCTGAAAAAGTGGGGAGGCGGAGGGCAGATCTGGGTAGCACATTACAGCATTGACTACATTACCCAAGCAATCTAAAGGCAAGTGACTCTAATCTCATTGGGACAACAGCACTGTAGGAATCATGCTTTCCTACCAACTGCTTATTAAGGGTCCAGATGAGCTTATGTTCTGTCATTTCAAGGAATTAAAAAACAAGTTTTTCTGACAGCTTCCAAAATTGGGTTTAGTACTTGGTTTATTAAGCTGGACTCTGCTTCTTAGTAATATAGTTTCAGTGGTGTAAGATACTATACTTTTTGTCATGAAGTCTCTGCCCATGCCTGTGTCCTGAATAATATTGCCCAGGTTTTCTTCTAGGGTTTTTACGGTTTGGGGTTTTACATTTAAGTCTTTAATCCATCTTAGTTATTTTTGTATAAGATGCTATACTTTTTGTTCAGAAGCCTTCTGAGATAAGGTGTGTCTTCAGGGGTAGAATAGTGGCAGATTCTCATACCTTCCCCATTCTATCTCACCCCCTTAAGGTAGTAGTTCATACAGTTTCTGTGGTGATCTGATGGTCTTGCAGTGTTGATAGTCCTTTGTCAAAGTGTGCAGTGATGAGTGTGGTGGCTCCTGAGATTTTAGTTATAATAACATTACTCCCCAGCAGGCTTTAATTTTTTGGCTCTACACAACAGAGGCTGCTTACTTTGAAGCATATTTCATTCATGAAAATAATTTCACATTCTGAAGTATTGTATTCTGCATGTACACTCTCTTCTGAGAGCATCACAGGCATAAATAATTGTCAATTCGAGTAACTATATTTGTAAAAAGCACTTCAGGTTGGAAAAATGAGTTTATCAACATCATAAATGATACAAAATGGATTATATGTTCATTACAGATAGCAAGAAAGGGAAAATAGGAATAAAAGTACAGTCCTAGTCCTGTTTATAATGCACTCTAGAAACATCCTCAAGCAAAGAAACCTACAGGTAGGAAATTAGTACCTGGTTTCTGGATTCTCAACCCCATACCCCTGCTGCCCACCCAATAAAACAAGAACACTGGAATAATTTTACAGGGGAAAATCCAAATTTGAAGATAATATGTTATCTGCCGAAATATATCCAAATGTTAGAAAGCTCAAGTGGAATACCTACGAATTCATCTAACTAAGGAGGTCAGAGGTCTCTAGAACTACAAAACACTGGTGAAAGAAATCAGAGATGAGGCCAGGTGCAGTGGCTTATGGCTGTAATCCCCGCACTTTGGGAGGCTGAGGCAGGAGGATTGCTTGAGCCCAGTAGTTTGATACCAGCCTAGGCAACATAGGAAGATTCTGTCTCTACAAAAATAAAAATAAAAAAATTAGCCAGATGTGGTGGCATGAGTCTGTGGTCCCAGGTACTTGGGAGGCTGAGGTGGGAGTATGGCTGCAGTGAGCCGTGATAGTGCCATGGTACTCTAACTGGGGCAACAGACCAAGATGCTGTC